CTTCTAGATTCACAGCAAATTTTTATGATCGCCTCCACCATTATTCACCAGAAATAATTAATGAATGACAAAAACTTTAGGTGAACAAGCAGGACTGGTTTGAGGATGGGTTTTATCATGGATATTGATACATCTTTGGCACAGACTTGCAGTGAGACCCATTTTAGGGGAAGGGCAGGGGGTCATAGGTTTTCAACAGTTGGTGCTAAGCGATTAATGAGACCAAAGCAGCATCTCAATAAATTATCAAATATCTAAGAACAAAATGGCCAAAGAAGGAAGCCAAGTTACCAACCTATCTAAAATTGGAACAAAACACACATAAACAGTGCACTACATGTGAACTGATGGAACCAAGGCAGCAATTTAGTTATACAAGAGCACCTCATATGCAGGACAGAACATGTAAACCGGAAGAAAGTAATCCAGGGCAGAATGACCAAGCAAGTTGCTAAGCCAAAAAACAAAAAGAAAGACCAAGCAAGTTACTAATATGTATTATAGTTTAAAAGTACTAACTAATACGCTAGAACCAAATGTCTAGCACCATATATGTGAAAAATGACACTGACTTACATCTCAACCCAGACAAAATTATCAACAATTACCTCTTCTTTGTTCTGTTCGTGCTGCATTTTCGTTCTCTGTCTTACAATCCTGTTCTCCTCCATCGTCTTCCGGAGCTTCTCACTCACAATGCCAAAAGATTCTTCAAGAGCACTTTTTAGTCTTTGCTCTTTAGCAACCTTGTTCTTGTAAAAAATAAGCTGCTGGTTGTCCTCACTCATTTGCCTGATTTGCTGAACAACCATCTCTTGATAGGATCTCATCTCAAATTTAAGCCTAGATTTGCCTAGTCAACAGCTCAGTTATACAGCACATCAGGTAACTGCATAAGTATCTGAAGGACTACTTATTTGTGAAGAAAATGATATAGAAAAATCTCACACATTTAAAGTTATCTTGCACTTTATTCATGCATTATATCACCATTGTCTTTTGTCAGAGAGAGAGATAGAGAATAAACCTTGACAATGCTGGTTGAAGATGTCCAGGTCTTCCTTTACAGCCATGTAACCGTAAAGTTGGCGCTTCCCACCTGGAAGAAGTAAGACCCGACGGCGTTCCCAAGCCTCCCTATCTGTTCCTTGCTCAGCAAAATGTTTATGCAGACGCTCGGCTTCCAAATAACCCCTTGCTGTGCTCTCAAAAATCAGAACACTCATCCCGCGATGCCCATGTGGACCATATGAGTGTCGAGCCTTCACAGCAGCATATGAGCTGAAATAGTCAAGAAGCTCTTGGTTTCCCATACCAATCCACTGAAGCCCAATGCAATGAACTAAAAGTCAGAGCAGAGTATAGAAAACTATTTCCAATGTAATTAGCAGCAATTAGCTTTATTTATTGCAGTATATCTGAAAATAAAATTGCATTAGATATTATCTCAGCAAGCAGTACCTTATCATTCTCATCTTGTTCAAGCTGTGTGTTCATGATCATGACCATAGGTGGCCAGACTATTTCATAATCTTTTTCTTCATCTTTTAAACCCTTCCACTTCCCAAAAGCTTCACCTGCTGGAATAACAGTAGTACCCCTTCTACGCAACTCCTCATCCAAGAGTTCAGCAAGTTCACGATGAAGTTTCACCCTTTTTGCTCCTTTAGTTTTTGCATGTGTCATTAGAGGCTGAAGGCCTCGATACCAGTCAATGGCACCAGGACCTCCTTGGCATGCTGGGCAGTGCCACTGCCTTGCTGGGTCATTGATCTCCTCAATGGTCAAGCTATCTAAACTTTCAAAAAGTTTCTTAAACCATCGGTTCTTCTTTCTTGTCTCATGGCTCTTTTGACTAGTATCTGAATCAAAGTCATCTGTAAGAAGTTCATCATCGGACTCATCAACAGCATTATCATCTGAGTCATCCTCAACATCTTCAATATCATTGTCTTTTTCGACCTCAGTGCTAACACTGTCTTTCCCATGGCCATCTTGTAAACCCTTGGCTGGATTAGAACCAGCTCTAGATTGCCAATTCCATCCATGCTCAAGAGGTGCGCGAATGACAGGATGCGGAGGCACATGATTGTTCTCAAAACCCTTGTTGAATGTTTGGGGTCTTGTATTCCCTCTGCCAGTTGCCATCCTAGAATCAGTATTATGTGTCACCCAGGCATTGCCAGAGGCTCTTCCTGATCCAGCATTGCCCCACATGCCTCCAAATGGTTTAGGATTAGAATTTTGAGGACCCCAGGGTCTTGCAGCACTGCTTCCAGCTCTATTCTTAGACTTCCTCTGAATAACCTCCCACTCTCCATCATCTTGTGCAGAATCCAGGCTCATGTCTGCAACACCCTGGCTTAGCTGCTCAACCTTGGGGCTAGAGACTCCAGTTACATCTTTCCCCTTGGATGATGGGTTGATCATGCCACCAGCTACAAAAGAGTTTCCACCCCCTTTTCTTGAACTCATCCTCCAACACAATCCTCTGGTGAAATATGAGAAATTTGATTGTTATAGGTAGAAGATAAGTCTAGAAAGAAAGCAAGAAAATCTACAGCAATTAACCATGAAAATGTTGGGAAAATGGTGCTGTCTGAAAGTGTCTTAAAACTATTAATTGGTTATATGATCATGATCATCATATCCTTGTCAAACCACAAAGTCAAAACCATTGTATCTATGATTCTCAATTACAAAGCACCTATTTCTGCCAAGCATCTATTTCTGCTAAACTTCACGTAAAAAGACCAAATCAGATACCCATTGCATTGGCTCAAAAAGTAGCCTCAAGTTTTCAAATAGAAGATTTATAAGAGTCTTGTTAACATCTGAATTTAATCAAACACAATAGGAATTAAATGTATACAACAAAAAGATTTCAAAGATTATAAGCACTCAGTTGTCATGGTTCTGAAAGGCGGAAGCCCAGAAAACAATTTATTGGCATCATTGCTTACAAAAACTCTTGTAGATATAGACATTAGTCATTTAAAATTTTTATTCCTTGTTTTATATTTAAATTGAGATAGCCAAACATTAACAATGAAGCATTTCTTAATGAAAACCATTTCCCCCAAAAAGTAGTCACTCTATAGTAGCTTTCCCGTTACCAGAAAAAGGAAAAACTATTTGAGAGAGTGTGTGGGTTACACTTGTTGAGATACAAATGAAACCTCCTGAAGAAAACAAGAAGTCAAAAAAATTCAAAAGAAAACAAAACAAAACAAAGAAAGAAAGGGAAAAACAAAACCCTAAACCCTAAGCAAACAAAAACTCAAAACTCATATTCTAAAAACATTCATGTTAAAAAAAATATAAATAAAACCGAAAATTCTATATACTTAAATGCATCCGGAATCGTCGATCCACATCCCCCCCACCCAAAAAAAAGAGAGGAAAATTAACACCTCCACCACTGCAAAGAGAAAATCAAACGAATCCCAAGAAGAAAAAAAGCTCCAAAATATAGTCATCTTTTCCATAAAAATGTCGATAAACTGAAAAAACTTTAAAAAAAAAACACACATTGGTACGCAGAGCCGTACGTACGCATTCAAACACGTATAGAATCCATTGCTCTTTCAAACACATATTGCTCTCTCTTTGCATGTAAAGAAAAAAAAAGCATAGAAATGGGTATATTTAGCAAAAATCGTAAGGATCGGAAAGCGATCGTAACGAAGGAGGAGGAAGAACAACGTACCAGAAACGACGACGGAGTTTGTCGTATGGGCGGCGAGTGTGACAGAGGAGTGAAGACCGTAGAGGGTGAGAGTCACTAGAAAGGAAATGAGAGAGAATTGCGTGAAAGAAACGCAGGGACTGAGACCGGCATTTATAACGCGTCTACTAAGGAGTGTCGGATTCCAAACACAAGTTAAATTTAATTTTCAACACGGTCTGAGCACACCTCAATTATTAAAAGAGTTGGTACTAATTCTTACCTCAATTTCATCTTAATTATTTGTAATACTTGACATTATATGTTATTCAATTTGTGGGTAAATAAATCAAACTTGGCATAATTTTATGTCATTTTATCAATTTATTCATTATAAAAAGAAAAAATCGTGTATTATGAAATTATATAATATAATTATAAAAAAAATTCTTGTAATATTTTAAGGAGATGAATTATATATATAATTAATTTTATTTATAATCTAATTTTGATTAGTTAATAGTGTTTTAATCTAATTAGTGAACAATATTGTCATTCAAAAAAAATTAATTAACAATATTGTAATAGAATTCTAAGTATTATTTTTTAAAAAAATTTATATAATTAGTTTGCAAAACTCTTAATTAATTCATTTTAATTTATAAATTAATGTTTGATGACACATCTGATTTAAAGTTTTTAATCATTGAATGAAAATTCTTTTGCAGTGTTCTTAAAGGCTCCAAATGTAGACGTTATAAATGCGTTTCGAGGATGGGGGCAGTAGCATAGTGTACCCACAACCACCACAACCACCACCACTAGACCAAAGTCGATCATCCCTCTTCCTCTCTTCTCTCGTCCCGTGGACCTTTTTCCTCTCCTCATCCTTCCATCCTTTTCTCCCTCGCCCCCTCGTGTTTTTCCCTCTTCTGAAGTTGAATTTGGGGGAGGGGAAAAGAACCTTTCAGTACACTTGTCACGCGTCATGTTGTGCTTAATGGTAGTGCAGGGTTTGTGCATGCCAGCGTGGGGAGGGTGAAATATCTTGGACGGACGACTGACACTCTTATGGTAAAGACAAAGGAATACTCCCTGGTCCCTGCCTACTGGTAGAAATGGATTTCTTGTGATTCTCTCCTGAACCTCAACTGCGAGGTGTTTTTCTTGTGTTTTTTCTTCTTATATTGACGGAAAAATCAAAGTGGAGTTTCCTTTTGCTTTTTAATAGTAATATGAAATTAATTAATTTAATAATAAATTACTAGTAATCATGACAGTTCATTTAAAGACAAAAATAAGGGTGATGCTTCTTTTTGGCCCTGCACTCATAACGTGAGTTGGAGCAGAAATCAGACTTGAGCCATTTGTTTTACATTGATGGGATAGCAAGCAGATTGGGAGGCTGAGTATGCCTCTTGGGCAATAATCTCATTGAAAGCTTGGGTTGGATGATACGCATCCCAGAAGATATATTCATCCCTATTCGAGCATGGGATTGAAAAGGGAAGACAAGTCATTTGCCCTCTATTTCTTCCAATGCCACAACATCCTCTATCCGTGGTAGTGAATCCTGCAAAATCAATGCTAGTTTGTTAGAACATTCTTAATTAGGATATTTGACTGAAATTAACCCCCAAGAACTAATAGGTTGATGCATGGTTTTGGTGAAGACGATTTAAGGAGGACTTACCGTAAGTGGCAGGACTACCTAGTATGTCATTGAAGGCTCCATAGGTATTGCCATAAACAAAAATGGCCCCGGCGTCGGTGTGGTTAGCATTTAGCTGATCAACAAGAGATTTGAGCCGCTTATTGAACATTCTCACCATATCATTAACGGCAGATACACACTTCCCTGGTGGAGCAAGATCCGTAGCTAGCTGATTCGGTATGCAACCAAGGGGGCCAATGCCCGCCAACAAAAATTTTCTCAATCCTAATCTGTATGGTGCCTACAAATGAATCACTTTCACTGCGTTAGAGTCATATTTCAGACCCTTTTTCACTTACTTCAGCTTTCAAGAAACAATAAACATATATCAGAAATCAAAATTATTTGAACACAAATTCTCCATTCTTGAGGACATAAATATATATATGATTGAAGCAGATTGTCTTACCATAATTTGCCCTGCGTAATTCATTATAAGAAGATCAGCATAATCTTCAGGATTGTAAGTGGAGCTGGAGGAATAAAATGAGGGCTTGAGGTAATTATTGATGTAGTCATTGCTACCAATGTTCATCACAACTAAGGACTTTCTCAAATACTGATTCAGCTCCTCCTCATCCATTTGGTTTCTCAGTTGGTTCAATGTACTTCCCAAATTTCGAACCTGCTGACTCAAGCTGAACCTGTCCCCCTGCGTCACGATGACTCGTGCGGTGAAATTAAGTCATTCATTCATTGAATCAAGAGATGTTTAAGGAAACCTAAAGTTGGATAAGAATTTACTAGATTTAGTCCGCTTTCATCAAGGATCCCTGCTGCTGCTGAAGCCTAGTTTACTCCACTGCGAACGGCACTTTCTCCAGTGAAAGTTACAGTGAATGCTGGAAGAAGAGGGAGACCTAACAAATCTCCTGCAAGATGTATACATGTAAATCATAATAATAAGTTTATTAAATGACTTGTGGTGGGATTTATAAAGTCTTTTTGATGTTTAAATAATTTTGTTAATTCAGTTAACTTCTATTAACTGGTGACATATTCAAGTTCTAAAGTTAGCTCTATGTATATAATAATAAAAAAAAAAGAAAGTACCAAGGAAATCTACGATGGTTTTTCCGTTGGAGAACCTCCCAGTTGGTCCTCCTTCGAAATCAATACCATAAGGAAGATAGTTGGATTTTGCCAAAGAGCTCAAGCCGTTATTGTTCCCATTATCCACCAATTAATCTCCCAGCACAAACATTCCCGGGAACTGGGCCGGCGCCCATCCAACGTCCATACCAGCTGACTCTGAGAATGAGACTGCAAGCAGCAAACAGATAAAGTTCATCATCATCAGGGACAACTTTGTTTTCTATGATCTCCTCCTTTGAAATAGTATAGACAAATGATCCTGTGAATGAGAGGTATTGATGATGCTTCCCTTAGAAAATTTGTTAAAACGGCTTATTTTAAACATCCGTGAATCAGCTGTGGTCCTTTAAGGAGAGAGGGATGATGCTTGCTTGCTTCATAATACTCATGGTTTTTAGCAAGCTATTTGCATTTTCTTGTCCCTTTAGCCTATCCTTTGGGTTGGTCCGTTAGTTCAGGCTACTTTGGGAGAGCACCTCTTCTCATATTTCAAGCCCCTCGATAAAATTGTGACATGCCTTTGTACTTTTTACTGAGCTTAACAGTTATTTGACTTAATACATAGCAAGAAATTTCCATGGAAAGCGACGGCTTTTTTCTGTTACTTGCTTGTCAACTGGGCTTTCCCTTCCTTCACAACATCCACACCTGCCAGCACTTCAATTTTCTATGGACCTTATACTATAACGGGCACCAAGCTCGAACTCTATGGGCGTTTAGTACGGTGTAAGTAAGAAAGATTTCTGTATTTTAATTGACCTTATACTATAACGGGCACCAAGGTCGAACTCTATGAGAAAATCTTTTCATTGCAAAGTGATTGTAGCGAGTAAAGTAAATAGTATTTTTTAAAATTATTTTCTTTTTTTAAGATAAAGTTATAATTTTTTGTGAAATTATTTTTTACCATAATCTGATCCTCTCGTTTCTTTTTTTTTTAAAAAAACAATCTTCATATAAGTGATTATAGGTTTTTTTTTACCGAGTTTAAGCTTGTACAAAATAGTGATTTTACCAACAACATCAAAATCCATATCAAAATAGGCATCTCCTTTTGGCAAAAAGTAAGCTAAAAAACTTTGTAAATGTCAATCACATTTTTCTTATATATTTATTTATTATTGTAAAAAACAATTTTATAATTTTTTACTTTAATCAATTTTTATAAAAAAAATATAAATTTAAGAATTTATATTAAAAAGAAAGCAAGTATTCGATTTTATATTTTCATCAATAAAAGTAATTTTATAAATTTATATTATATTTTCAATAAAATACTTTCAAATCAAATATTACAATATAATTTTTTAACAATCATATTTCCTATAATCATCACTTTCCTAATTTACTAAACGTTACAAAATTATATTCTTAATAATCACATATTCAATAATCATATTTAATAACGATCATATTCCCGACAAAATATCAAACTTCACTTTTAATTTTTTTTTAATTCAAGTAAAAATATAAATGAATTAGCAACTACACAGTATTACTCGTCAAAATGGAATGCAATGAGAATTTATAGTACTATATAAGTCATATTTAAAATAGTGTATGTGTATTCTCAACCATATGAAATAACTAAAAAGAGACAATAATACTTATTTCAGATTTGATTAGAACAAACTATTTGACTGATATATATATATATATATATATATATTCCTATAAAAAATATCAAGCATGGTAACAGTATTACCTCCAAACCGTTCCAAAATTGAACCGCTATTCCTATGAGTCAAATTATCCTATTTGGTTTACGAAAAATATGAAGGAAAAGAAAAAAAATTGTATAATACTTAATAAATTCTTGAATTATTTAAATAAATATTTATATTTATATTGCACTTAATTAAGTTTTTATATGTTTATTTTAAATTAAATAAGTCTTCATAACTATTGATTAACAAATTATTACTAGTTAAACATTAATTATAAAGTTTTATTTGAATTCAAATAAAAATAAAAAGATTTGATTACACATAATAAAAGAGTTATAATTTATATAAATTTTTTTTAATAATTTAAAATAATTTTGTTGGACATTACAGAGTCCTTCTTAGGTAAGTAACACTTTCTTCGGCGTTAAGTTTCAAAGGTTTTAACTTTAGTGGACTTTAATTGAGAATTTGAGATTGCTAGTCTGACCTAGCAAGACTTATTGCTGGAGAGAATTTTGATTAAGGCTTGTGCTTGGGCCTTGTAGCATTGGACCTTATCCTATCACCAAGTCATAATTAATTGAGTAGCTAGCTTCCAATCAATTAGTACTTGTCCCCACATAGAGACGAATTTAATAGTTTGCCTAAAAATTAAGCTTATTTGTTTTTAATGAAATCTCTTATGTTTTAAATTTTTTATGATTTAAATTATTAAAAGAATTTGATTTATTTGGAAAGATAAATTAAATGATGAGATTTGAATGAAAGCCGTTGGAACAGTAAGCGTGTTTAAGTAATCCAAAATTATTATCACATTAATTATTATTTAATTACGGCTAAAAGACAAAAACTGGTTTGAGATTACCTTTACAAGTTTCCAAAACACTCTCTTACTCTCTTTAAGGTTTGATTGAAAATAAACTTATCTCCCTGAAAAGTAATAGCGGTAATTACCAAATTTACTTTAGATGAAGATACTAATTGTTATTTATTTCTTCATATTCATACTCCGTTTCTTCTTTTTTTTTTGACTCTCTCTTTTATCTCATATCTTTTTTTTCCACTTTTGTCCCCAGAGTTTTTGTTTTTAATTACAAAATTGTGAAATTTAATTAATTATAAATACAGCTGAAAATTTTAATTAGCTTTATATGTTTATTAATTAGGTTTAATTATAATTTAAATGTGTATCATAGATACCTCAATTAGAAAAAATAATTGTCATTTACAATATTTGATTGAAAATAAAGTATCTCTCTTCAAAATGTTACCGCCATTATATTATTAATCAAACTAATATTTATTTAATTTTTCTTTAAATATTAAAAAATCATGATTTTGTTCATTTTCTTTCTCCTTTTCCCTCATTTTTCTTTTTTTTTGTTTAATACATTTCTTTATCACTAAACAATTTTTTCAAATTAATTTTGATGTAAATGAAATTTAGTTGAAATTTTAAAAAATCGACAAAATTAATTTTAAGGCATGTTTTTTTAATAGATATTATCTGTAATATTTTGCTCATATCACTCAGTATATAAAAAGGAAATTATGTGAATAGTTTAAGAGATAAAATAAAAATAACATCTAACTTCATCTTACATTTTATAAGAATATATCACTAGATATACTTATGGTTGTAAAATTGTTTAGATTTAGAACCTATTTTCTGTTGTAATTAGAATATAAGAAATTTGAATTTTTTTTTAATAAATGGAGGGAACTCAAACTGTATTTTTTTATTTATAACATAAAACTTTTTTTTTTAATTTTTTACTATTATCTTGTTTATTTGATGTATCAAAGTAGTTGACAGTAAACTTTTAATATAGACTTGCAAGTGTATTTTTTTTAGGGCATAACTTTTCTATCAAAGCACTTTGATGTTTTACAGACATCTCTACATGTTGTAAGACATGTTGTAAGACATAATTTTTAAATAAAATTTTTGTTTCAATAATTACTTTATGAAAAAATAATATTTTATAACATAAGATGTAATATTTGAGTTAGAACATGAAGAAATAATTTTTTATATAAAAACTTTTGAACTAAAATATGTCTCGTAATTTTTAAATTTAGAAATATTTTTTAATATGTTATTTTGTTAAGAGGCATAATTTTTATATGAAAAATCACTTACAATCTTATAGTCTTATTATGCCAAATAATATGACATAACCTTTCAATTGATATACTTTTCAAATAATCAAAAATTTTCATATGAAAAAAACATAATTTTTAATATATTTTTTCACATGAAAAGACATAATTTATTATTTTAAAAATACACTGAGAATTAATGGCAATGAATTTATTTTAACTAAAAATAATTTCAATACATTTATAAAAAAACAAATATCTATAAGTGCAGGAAATTTGTAATGCAATTGAATTAAAATATAATTCTCTTAAACGATATTATTGGAGTTTCATTCTTATACATTATTTTATTGTAATTTGACTATATTGTTTTCTTAAAAAAATTCATTATTTTTAATTAAAAAAATATAAAATTTCTAAAAAAAAAAATTTAAAAATAAATTGAAAAATAAATAATTAACAAGAAGGTTCATTTAGCTTTCTATTTAAGGTTAACTAATAATTAACAACAATATCTTTGAAACTGAAAATGGTAAGTATATTTTTCAATTAAATCTGAAAAAGGCTTTTGTAATTTCCAATAATTAAAAAAATTAGTATTCCGTATTTCACTAGTATTTAATTCGTACTGCTTCACATAAAGAAACGAGCTACAGACCGCGCGAACCTTCCTGGAAGTTGTGTTGAAAGCCGAATTTACATTAACTTCCTCCTTTCTTAGATCTTTTCGTTTCTTTTCGGGGTGCTTCGAGGGTAATAAAGTAATTTTGTCATCATAGCAGCCACGGCTTAACCACAGTACTAAGGTTTGGATGCTCCTTCTGCCTTCCTCACTTCCCTGGCCCCAACCAAAACCGACTAAATAAAACTCTTCTCGAGAAAACTAGTACCAGTATATTAAAAGTTTAAAACTAATTAATTAATAATTATCATAGGATACTACCAAACCCATTTATGATGTGGAAAAGAGAAAGCCCAAAAAAAAAACCATATCACCACATCAATCATACTTTTGATTGATTGATCAGGAGAAAAAAAGAACTCCACAGCTGCTCACTCCCTCATCCCAACACTGACCGCTAAGCAACCAAACCCATTCTCGTTTCCCTCTCTTCTTCCTCTGTTCCTCTATAGACCCACCCCAAACCTCCTCACCCCATCCGATCCACTCGTCCTCACCTCAGATCTCGTCGTACGCGCTTTGAATCTGATACCACGCGCCACTATGGTCGTCAACGGCATGCCCGTGAAGAGGATGAAGAGGAGAGTAACGGCCGATCTCTACGACTTCCTCAGCTTTCCTTCTTCAGCTTCGGGATCTAGCGTTGCCATGCCGTTTCGGGCTAACATCAGGTCGTTTCTAACCAAGCACGCGCTCATGCCGCCTCCGACGTCTCTTTTTCCTCACTTGATGACCTGGCAGATCGTCTTCAGGGTCGGCAACACGACGGACGGCTCTGATTCCTCCTCCGCCATGGTTTGTCTAGACGTGGTGGAGGAGGACGTCGCTAGATCTAGATCCATC